TGGCAACTATATCAATATTTCATCAATAATTTATCATCATAATCCATTAAAACATGATGTAGACATTTAGGTAATCTCATGCTTAACCTACAAGTTGTAAGCAACTAGATGTCAATCCTCACTTCAAATGAGCTTTAAATTGTTCCTTCTCAACCCAATGATCAAGCTTCGGCCAAGGCAGTTTGAGAATTGATTCCTTGTTTATAAATGAGTGTTAAACAGCCTCCTGAAGGTGCTTGCTTAACTCCTAACCGAAGACACAAAAACAGTCCCTAGAACGGGTGTTTTCCGGTGAATTCGTTCCCTAACCATTCAAAATTTTGTCTAGGTTAGTATCTAACCTTTCCAACAGTTAAAGTCACTTTATAATAACATTTTATACACTTCAACCAGTGTATAATAGTTCTTCAATCATTTATATGATTTAGACAATAGAGAGGAAGGTTTTGGATTCAAACTTACTTTGAATACAAAAACGTATTCTGCGAGGTTGCGTTTTGTTCGGACGATTTGGAGGCCTTAAACTGCTCCGTTTTCTTCAAACCGCACACGCCCTTTTTGGATGAGTATTTCTCAAGATACAAACCAAACAGTGAGCTCCACGAACTGGAGATTATCCCTGCGGCGAGCTCCCTTATCTCTCTCTTTTGAGTGTGAGGCTCTCCCTTCTTTCTTATCTCTTTGAGTTCGAATGGGGGGTGAGGTGTTTAGGATCTCTCAAAATGATATCTAAGCATGTGGTTCACAAAAAGAAAGGGTAGGGTGTTTGATTGAAATCAAACATGGGATGATCCTCCTCTTTTTTTTCTTTTTGTATTGTTTGAGCTCTCAACTAAATAGGTCCGCCCCATTTATGTGTTCTAACTTATTCTCCTTGTTTTGCAGGTGCTAGGAAGGTGTGGGGCACACTCTTATGTCCCCTAATTAATTTGGGAGCAAAATATCCACCAATACTTCCAAAAGTGGAAAGATGGATCCTATTGTTTTTATCTTTTGTCATAAGATGCACTTTTTGTACTCATCCCTATTTACTTAGATCAAGTCAACCTTCTACATCATATTATTGATCTCTAATATGTGTATAATGGTCCCAATAATTTATATTATGTATAATTATAAGAGAGGACCCTACTCCCATTATTTAGCTTAATAATGCCAAAGATGGAACCATAGGCATTTGTATTCTTTTCCAATCATTCTATCACTTATTTATGACATTAATATTCATATATCTGGGATACTAGCCGTGTGGGTTACCCTCCAGTGGGTCTAGGACGCCATTCTTGGATAATTGCTATTTTTAGCAGGTTAGGCGCAAAATAACATTTGGGCTGCCCAACCGCTCTTACTTTGTACCGAGGGGTTATATATCTTTATTTAAGAATGTTGGGCCCCAATATCAATAAGATGGCCCAATTAATTATTTGGAAGTCCATTGCTGTCATACGAGCCCAAACAGTAATATGATTAATCACACGTTACGTAAAACTTTAATCGTTTTACACTTGTACGATAATAGGAAAATTCAATACACAAGCTTTGAAATTTAATTTGAATTTCAAGGACGTTCGGGTGCGGTGTCTCACAGTTCGCCTAAGTTTTCTCCTTCTCATTCTAAATCTGTTGACTCTTATTCTGGTGATATTTTTAAGTTTGATAATTTATATTCTCTTTTTTCTAAATGTGATGTGAGTGATGTGAATGCTGATAATGATTGTGTTACTTTCTCTACTTGTAAATGTGTTTGTTTAAATTATCATTTGAAAGTTTATTCAACCAAACATCTTAAGAGATTAACAAGAGAGAAAATATTCACAAATGTTAAAAATACCCACTCATCTTTCCAGAAGAAATCTGAATATGTTCTTAAGGTCAATCAAGTCTGAGTTCCTAAAAATGAAATTAATAAAGCTGCATTAATTATTTCTTCAAATAAACAGGACGGACCCATCCTTAAAAGGGTACCTAAGGTTCCTTAATTTTTGCAGGTCAGTCATGTGTGGTATCTCTATTCTTGTTGCTCCACACACATTACTGGGAAGAAAGAGCTGTTGAGCAACTACATCGACAAGTTCGGTGGTAAAGTGAGATTTGGAAATAACGAGTCTACTCCTATGCTTGGATACGGAGATATCTGTAACATGAAGGTTACTATCAAAGATGTGTCATACGTTGCTGGATTAACGCACAACTTGTTTAGCATCGGTCAATTCTGTGACAAAAGAAATGAAAGTTATTTTCTGAGCTAATCAGTGTTGCGTGAAAGATGAACATGGGAATACCATTCTGAGGTGTAGACGCAAATCATGTTTGTACACCATTGTTCTGAAAACTATCTCTTCCTATACAGATGTCTTCCTGTTGTCAAGAGCATCTTCTGAACAAAATCAACTGTGGCATAAGAGGATGTCTCATCTGAACTACATGGATCTACACACATTGTCATCAACGAAGTTTGTCACTGGCCTGCCAGCACTTCAAACGCAGAATGATCATCTGTGCGATTCTTGCGCACCTGGAAAAATGAATAGAGCTTCTCATACGGCAAAAATGACAGCATCTATCACACGTCCTCTGGAACTTCTTCACATGGATCTTTGTGGGACCATGCACACATAAAGTATCAATGGGAAGAAATATATTCTGGTGATAGTAGATGACTACTCACGATACCCATTGATCCGCTTCTTACGCACGAAAGGCGAGACAAATAACATCATCATCTCCTTCATACGAACCACACATAATATACTCCAAGCAAGCATTATATTCATTCGTTCTGACAACGACACTGAGTTCAAGAATCAGAAGCTCAGTGATTTCTACGAGCTACATGGAATCATACAACAATTCTCTGCAACAAAGACCCCACAACAGAACGGGGTAGTTGAACGAAAGAACATAACTCTTGTTAAAGCTGCTAGAACCATGCTTATTCACTCCAAACTACCACATTCTCTTTGGGCCGCAGCTATCAGCACTGCATGCTTCACTCAGAATAGGACTTCAATTCATAAAAGGTTTGGAAAGACACCATATGATTTCAACCACCGTACTCCCCACATTTCTTTTCTAAGAACTTTTGAATGCAAGTGCTTCGTTGCTAATGACAGGGAAGATCGAAGCAAGCTTGATCCAAAAGCATTTGAAGGTGTGTTTATAAGCTACTCATCTTCTTCTAAAGCTTACATAGTTTACATCAGAGATAGAAGGAAGGTCATTGAAAGTGTCAATGTGACCTTTGACGAAAAGGAAGAACAGGCTTCGGGACATATCAGTTCAGAACCTGATATCACTTGTGTTGTGTGAATATCACCCAGATCAACAGTCGACTAATTCTAAGAATAATTGACAGTATTTAAACGGTAGAAGAGAAATTCAACATCAACATATACCGTGTATTCATAATGATGATTCGATGATGAAGAACAGTACACCAACAGTATGTTGAGAGAGAATTTATCTATCTACATGCTCTACGAGAATAATATGCGGAACAGAATGTGTAGATACTTTCAATTCTAGCGTGAGAGCTTCGAGAATGATATGGCTATAAAATTTCATGTCATAAATTTTATTTTAAAAAGAGTAGGTTCAAAATTACCCTAATTGGAGTTTTTTCGAAGTTTGGACAAGGATACTCGGTAGGGTTTGGGCTAGTCACCACACTGCCGCTAGAGCAACCATCGACGCCGCGACTTTGCCGCCATCAGAAATCCACTGCGTTGGTGAACGCCGCAGCCAACTACCAGAATTTGCAGTCGCAGAAAATCTCTAGAATTCATTTGCCACTAGCCTGACGTCGTCGCTGCCATATGCCACCATTAAACATTAATAATTACATTAATAATTAGCAATCAATTATAATAATAGCAATAGTAATATAATAATTGGAATGTTTTTAATTAATAAAAGTAGTAATATATAATTGATGGGATTTCAATTAAAACATATGAGAACATTTACGATATTTTAATTAGAATGTTTTCAATTTCATGCTAGACCACACAAATTTCAACAAAATTAGACCAGATTTGTTAGACTAAAATAGAACAATCTTAATAAGATCAGACTAGACAAGTAAAACCTATATAAATTATACGTTTACTAGACCATATCATATTAGCCTAGACAATATTTAAAAAGATTAGACCATATTTAAATATAGTTAACAAACCATATCGGGAAAATTTGTTATAATTAAAAACATCCTTACGACCTTACATAAGGAAATAACAATAACATCTTATAGATATAGATAATAATAGTGATATTAATATTAATAGTAATAGTAATGCTTTAATAATAATAATAATAAATACCCACATTGAGATACTAAAATAATAATTATAAACACCCATTCAAATACTAAAATAATAAGAACATAATAATACTCCGTGACCATAAACACTCAATCAGACGATAAATATTAAGATATAAAAAAGATTCTGGATAGATCAGAAAAATTCAGATAAAATTACAAAAATATAAATGAAATTAGAGAGATTCATATCCAAAGAAATTAGAATAAGTCAAATTAGACGAATGGAACAACGTTTTAAGCCTTTAAACAAGAAAAAATTCTACTTTTGGTCCATGACTACTATACCACTTCCACATTTAGTCCTTTACTTTCAGATTGTGCATATTTAGTCCGTGATCATTATCCCCTCACCACCCCTCGTCCTTTCGGCCAAAATTCCGTCAAATTTAATGCAAATTTTAGGTATGAAAAACCAAATTTAGTGCAAAGACTAATATGAAAAACCCAACTTGATACAAAATTTAATGCAAAGACGGATTCTAAGGCTGAGAAGTGGACTACATTTACCGGAATTTTGGCCGGAAGGACGAGAGGTGGTGAGAGGATAATGATCACGGACTAAATGTGAACAATGGTAAACGACTAAATGTTGAAATGTTATAATAGTTATGGGACCAAAAGTGGAATTTTTTCTTTAAACAATCCCAAATTCTTGTTAATGACTTCAAAAGTCTAAAAGCCAAACAAGGCCTCAAGGGTTTATATCAGAGTGACGAGGCGGGTAGCGTAAAGGTGCCGCAAGCGCCGATCCATAAGAAGTGAAGTGGGAGAAACAAAGCTAAGGCTTCGACAGATCTGCAAACAGGAGGAGATCGAAATCGCGGAAATGGATCCAGACGCTCTGTGCCAGGCTTTCGTCACACACTACTACAACACCTTCGATTCCAATCGGCCCGGTTTGGCCAATCTCTACCAGGATCAGTCCATGTTGACATTCGAGGGCGTGAAGATTCAGGGCGTCGAGAACATCAAACAAAAGCTAATGAACCTCCCTTTTGCGCAGTGCTTGCACCATATCACCACCGTTGACTTCCAGCCCTCTGGAGCTCACGGCGGCTTTCTCGTATTTGTCAGCGGCAACCTCCAACTTGGCGGTGAGCAGCACCCTCTCAAGTTTAGCCAGGTAAGCAATCTATTTCCGATGTTTTCACTGAGATTACGCTGTTTTTTATTTCTTGGAACGATTCAATTGTGAGTCTGTGTTATGTCGTGATTTTGTTTGTTATAGCTGAATTTCCATTCTTTTATTCATTAAGAGAGGAAATAATTTCGAGTGGGATCCCAGATCCATTATTCAACCAGTGATGGCGAAGCTGTTTAGGTGTTATGTATGCTCTCATTTTTATATGACATTTTACTTTTAATGAAAGGATCTCGATTCCTAAATACGGAGTAATATAAACTCATATATATGACTATCCCTTAAAAACACAAACAAAATCAGAGTTTCTTATTTGGCAGCAAGAGCTGGCTACCCAAAAATCCGATATTTAGAGTCCTAATGTTGTAGTCAATGTCCTGCTGCATTACTCTACTAGGCTGTATGACTCTATCAGGTCATAGTTTCTTTTTATACCTGAATGGTTTTGAAGCAACATGGATTCCTTGCAAGCAGGGGCATAACTGGGCGGGGGTCGGACTTGAACTAAAAAATACTCAAGTATAAAACTAGTAATCAAAATCAGTCCAAGTGAATAAAAATTTTCGTACTATTTAAAACAGTGCATTAAACTAAAATTTGTTTTGACTTTCTGGGAAGGAGGTTGTGGATTAGCCATAACTTTATGTTAATCAAAGTATTTAATATTATAATAATAAGTAATAACCATTAAAATTTAAACCTAATTAAAGAAAGAAATAAAATATTTTAATTAGTTTTTTTGAGGTTGAAAACATATTATTGAATCCTATTATCCTAGAAAGTAAAATCTAGAAACTGATAAAACAATTTATTATTCACCCATTACATCAAGTCATAACATCTTATATTCTTATATACTCTCTCCGTCCCAATTTGTTTTGCAAAATTTCCTATTTGGGCTGTCCCAAAATGTTTTTCCACTTTCGATTTTAAGTATGAAATATAGGCTAAGTGACAATTTTACCCTTACTCTTATTCTACTCATTTTCTATTCCCACTCACCCATTTAGCAGGAATTAATCCACCAACCATGTCTTATCATCTTCCCCACACCCTTTTCTCTCTGCTCAGTGAACAAGACCACACAAAAATCCTACTCCCCTCTCATCAGCAAACCATAGCTTTGGAAATAAGAGAAAATCAGATTTCTGGGTCTCATTATCTGCCTCAGAAATGCTTCACACGGATAGCATCACAAGAAGAAACTACCTGCAGCGCCCCTCCTGAAATCAAACTTGAGCTCAGCAATGGCGACAACAACAGGATGCCAGTGGTGCATCAGCCGTTTCCCATCTTCTCTCCCATCAACACCCCTCCTCAGCTTTTCTTCCATGAACTCTTACATGTTTGTGGCATGGGTCCCACACGATTGATAACATATGGTTCTGTCTTGTAGAGGAAATAATCTTCACTCTATCACTGCTCCGTCGTCAATCATTTCATCGCCATCGCCATCGCCATCGCCATATCCGGTAGAGGAAATAATCCTCATTGTAATAGATAGCGTCGTGGCTATCTAAGAACCGTGAAATACTGAAATGTACAGAGTACTTCTGTATTTTTTCTTTTCCCCATTTCAGTTTTGTACTCTAGTTTGTTAGGAAAAGGGCAAAGTGGTAAACTCATTGCAATTTTTTATGTTTTCTTAATCCTTGTGCCTTTCAAAGTTTGCACTTCAATTCAGGACGGAGGTAGTAATAATTTACCAAGAAATAATATTACTAAAATTTTGAATTTTTTATACTCAAATACGTAAAACTAAAAATCTAAAACACATTCAATTTATCAAAACAAAAACTATGAAACAATCACACTCTAGAAAACCAGTTAGAAGTTAGGGTTAAAAAATGAAACATTAAGCTTGTGGATAAAATTGGAGAATGATGGAATGAAGTCAATGTTGTCGGCTTCCTGTTGGGCCACATGTGTACTCACGTCCACGTACTTGCGTCCGCCACAAGCTCAAGATGCCACTTTGTCTTCTTCCTCTCGACTTTGCTATTTTCTTTCATGATTCACGTTCATCATTTGCACTCTGAGTTTGCTGAGCATTTAAGAAGAAGTCTTTGAGAATTGTACTACAGAGTTCCCTATTACTATAAGAGTGTAAAAGGATGGGATTTGAGTACTTTCTTATTTGCTATAGTCATGGATGAATTTATGAAGTCGATTCAAGAAGATATATCATTGTGCATTATGTTTGCCGATGATATTGTATTGATTGGTGAGACACAATTGGCTGTTAAAGAAAAATTGGAAGTATAATGAGAAACATTGGAGGACATAGAGTTTCTGGTTGACTCAAAGAAAAATTGAATATATTGAGTGAAAGTTTGGTGGAGGTTGAAGTAGTGGTAACGGTGAGATTACCTTAGATGGTAGGGAGATACAGGTCAGTGATGTATCTCATAGAATCCGAACGACTCAACAAAGTGGATGAAATGGAATGTGACCGAGATATGTCGGCTAGATTGAAGAGTAAGTTTTATTTGACCATGATTAGACCTGCATTATTGTATGACATAGAGTGTTGGACAGTGAGACAATACCACATTCCAAACATGAATGTAGTTGAGATGTGAATGTTGCGATGGATGTGTAGACATTCTAGAAAAGACCGCTTCAGAAATGAGACAATCAAACAAAAGGTGAAAGTAACACCTATTGAAGATAAGATAGATGCGAGAGTCTCGATTGCGGTGGATTGATCATGAGGGGATTGTAGGAGTCAAGAGTTGTATGCTTCTTCTTGAGTGAGATGAGAGTATGAGTTTGGAGCAAAGTGTAGGGAGAATATTCGTGTGCAGATTTGATCTCTTTTCATTTTTTTATCCTCATCTTTTTATCCTCTATATCTTCCTTATGTTCTCTATCTTTTTGTTCTTTTTATCTTATGTTTTGTATCAATGTATCTTATCATTTTCCTTATCTCTTTATCTTATTTTTATCTTATCCTTTCTATCTTTTTACCGTATCTTGTCTATCTTTTTTTTTCTAGAAGCTCTGATTTCATGTGTCGATTCCATAGTTACATAAATCACCAACACAACCACAATCTGCGCCCAGAATCGGCGTTCCAGATCGCGGAACCGTAGCGCGTGAGACGCCTTTGGATCGCGACTTCGGTACGGTTGTAGTTCGCCAGTATCCCCCAGGCGGTACGATGTATCCCGCAAGCCGTTCGCACGTTTCCTCCAGCAAACAACGCTCCAGCAGTCCAACACAGTCAGCTAGTTCCGTCTTCCAAGGGGCGCAAGTCAGCTACTTCATTCTTCCAAAAGATGCAGATTGGCAACTTTGTTTGCCAAACAACGTGTTTATTGCTCCAAAGTCCAAATGACAATCCAGCATCCCAGTTTTATTTTTTTCTTTATTTAATGTGATTCAACAGTTACACCTCTTCTCATATCCTTATAATTGAAGTATATTCTGTTTATGCATCGAGAACAATTTGATTTTGGAATCTAGAAGGTTACCTTAATCGTTTAATATTTCCTTTGTTCTTTTTTAGTTGCAACGTCCAATTTTCAAGCTTGCCAATGCACAACTTTGACCGTTATTATATTTAAATCTCTATCAGGAAAAAATCAGATTATGAAAATTTGTAATGAGATGAATTCAAAAATATTCTTCAAAAAATAACTCTTGTACATTAATAAATACTATCTTCGTCCCAATTTATTTAGCCATCTTTGACTTTTCCAGTCAAAGATGGTAAACTTTGACAAATTATTTTAACTTATACTTCCTCCGTTTCTTAAAAGTTGCAACATTAGGATATTTGCACTATTCACACACCTTACTTTGACCACGATTTTCTATTAATATATAAAATCAAATTATTATGTATAAAATGTCAATAAATTTCTATTGATGTGAATTTTCAAAATATTAACTTTTTATAATTTTTATTAATACGTAATTAGATATAATTAAAGTCAAAGTTGCGCGTTGGAAAACGTGAAAGTCAAATTGTTGCAACTATTAAAGAACGGAGGAAGTATATTTATGCAAAATTTAATATTTTTATACTTTTATGATAATATTTTTAACAAAGAACATTTTCATATCATTTTCATATTATCAATACTTTCTCTATATAAACATATAATCAGTCAAAGTTAGATGTCATTGACTTGAAAAGTCAAGTTTGGCTAACTAAAATGGAATGGAGGGAGTATAATATAGTCAAAGTGGAGCATGTGAATAATGTACAATTTTCCATGTTGCAACTAAAAAGAAAAGGAGGATAGTATTATTAATATTATATATATACTTTATAAACTGTTTATGTTAATGGTACACCGTACCATAATAAATGGTACAACCAAGGTTTAAAAAGGCAGATTCGGGTTTCAAGGCGGTTTGTTCCTAAGAGGTGAGGCGTAAGCCTTGAGGCGTATTGAGGCGTAAGCCTAAAAAATACAAACATATAAAACTTGATATAACTAATAACAAACAACTCAAGAAGTAAAGGATATCCATAATTATAAGTCCAAAAAGTGTGAGACACAAATACATGTGACCTATTACCAGTAAGTCACTAGGATTCAAACACACAAAAAGAAACATCTCACAAAAACAGACACATCACAGTCTCACAAACACACAGAAACAACCCACACAAATTGCATCACCAAGGCCTTCAGAACTACTAGGTGTAGCAGTAGAATAATGACATCTTTTCTTTGAACCTCTCACCATTAAACTAAATCTACACAGAAGTATTATTAATGACATGACTAAGGAAGCAAACTAAATCCTTTACCAGTTAGATAACATGAACAACAGTTTTGTAAAAGAAGGATAAGAAGTAGTGAAGGAGAAGAAGAACAACAGTTCTGTAAAAGAAGGATAAAAAGCAGTGAAGGAGAAGAAATGAAGGAGAGGAGTTGAATAATAATAGGAGAAAGAGAAGGGGATGGAGAAGAAGAGAGGAGAAGAAAAGTTACCTGGAAGCTTTTGGGCTGTTGTAAGGAGATGTCGCAGGAGAAGAGAGAGTTCTTTGCGTAGGTGAATAGAAAGTATACGTTAAGGTTCAAATCCTTCAAATCCTTATCAGGATTTGAATGAAATAAGACTTGTTAGGGTTTAGTATATGGGCTTCTATTTAGAAAGAACTCTGGGCTTTTTATTAAATGAAATACTTGGGCCTGTTTTAAGTCGCTGCGCAAGTGTTCAAGGCGTGCGCCTCAACAAACGCCTCAAGGCGCGCCTCAAGACGTGCGCCTCAATCTATGAGGCGTAAGCCTCTTTACCTGCGAAAAAAACCTACGCCTTGATACCCAACCAGTACGCCTCAGCTTGAGGCGCGCCTCAGAACCCGCCTCATAAGCGCCTTTTTAAACCATGGTTACAACATACTGTGTACCGGAATAGTGCACCAAAGAAGCCTACCCTCCAGACGTATTGGATTTTTGATATTAGCGATCCGCGATTCCATTTTCATTCTGTGTTTTGGAGCATACCGCGATCTATGTGACAATGGCCGATTCATATTAGTTGACTTCAAACTCTTTTAGGATTAAGGCTCTGGTTTTGTTGTTGTTGTAGTATTGATATTAGTAAGTCAATACATAATGCTCTGTATTGTGCTTCCGTTCTCCACGGTAGACAAATGGCCTGCAGCCCTGGATGGCTTGAACAATGTTTTAATTTAAAGTACTAGGTTTTTAGTTTTACACACTAGGCCACTGTTAATTTTTATTTTATTTTATATATTCCTAATGGTGCTAGCCCAGGTTGCATTGGGCCATGGACCATGCTACCCCCTTCTCCGTCAATACGTGGAAGTGTTTTACCCAGGGTGGATCCAGAAATCTTGATTAGGCTGGACCAGGCTGGTGTAACTGCGCCGAAGAGTAATTATATTATATATAACGGGGTGGATGGGGAAAACGAAAAGAAGGCATTAAAATTAACAAAAAATTAGGTTGTCATAATGTGGATCTACCCCTGTGAGATGCACGCATACACCTTATGAAATGACGTGAATCTACAAGGGATCTATCTGATGTCTAAAGATTTGCTTGTTTTTAAAAGTTACACGACAAGAAAATTCTCTTCACCATCAAGTTCTGTTTGTGCTTGGCTGATTTTTTTTGTTGATTTTTATTGTTTATGAGGGTATGTCCCTTAGCAGTTGAAACGTTGTATAACTCGTTCTGCGCATCTGTGTATTGTAAGGCATGCTTGGTTTAATCCTATGGTTTTGAGAGTCAATGGAATATTTATTCAGCCATTCTCTCAAAGTAAATTATAAAAAAAATGAACTTATAGATTCAGCTAGAGTTTTGTGTGTGGCATAGCCATAGAGGATGCACAAGGTAATTAGAGCTGCAATAGAAATGCTGACTTAGAAGAGAGTGCAGATGCAACTGTATATTTGCTTTTTGCGATCTTATTAATTGTATTTTTATGAAAATTTTGAAATTATCTACAAATCGTATTACTTGATCCTTCCCATGTCAAGGTTCCTTCTTTTCCCTTGTTGGCCATCTTAAAGCTAGTTTCCTCTTTTTCTCCAAGGATTGAATTGTGTGTTTCATATTATTTCTCTCGCATAAAAATACATCTGTAGCTACTAAATTTTACTTGTTTTATCAAGAGAGTTGGCCGTTGTGTCAAAACTTGCAATCAAGGCTTGTTTGGTTGGGGGATTTTGAAAGGGTGGAGATGAGAGGGATGTTTTTTTAATTTGTTTTAAAGCAACTAATCAAATGGCTATTAACATTAGCCTACCCTAAACTCTTTAAAAACCAAGGCATGGATATTGTTGTGTTTTAAAGCAACTAATGCATCTTTTATTTGTGAATTTTAAAAAACTAGTCTGTTTTTGTTAAAATAATGTGTTTCTGTATAAGTTTTACATCTTCACTTTCTTTCGAACCAATCTCTCCTCTCAAATTCCCCAACCTTACAAGGCTTGGGGATGATAATGGGCCTGCCGTGTCTTGTCAAGAGCATAATTTGCATCCATGTGGATTTCTCTATTCAAACTCACTTTCTTATCTTTGTATTGACCTACAGATGTTTCATTTGATGCCAACACAAACAGGAAGTTTTTATGTGCACAATGATGTATTCCGCTTGAACTATGCATGAAGGTGGGAAACTGTGTATTGGGTTTATATTTTCTTGATGATGGAATTGTCAAAAAACGAAAAAATGACTGATCAAAATCTGTCATGCTTGTAGAAGTTTGGATTGTGTTTTGTTTGGCTGTTTACCTGTTCTTGAGCTTTTATTATTAAAAATAGACTGATGAGTTTGATGATGAGTAATTTAGTAGCTAGTATGGAATGTTTAGGAAATTGAGTTGGTTGGTTTCCTCTATATGAGTATTTGCTTGTTCTTTTTTCCCGGCTCTTCCACCTTATTTCCACCAGGACATGGATTAGGCGTATTGCAATGGACAGGTTATGAAGTGGATATGCATTTCACAGAATAACAGGCAAGCGATGGACGATCAAGGCCATTGCAATGGATGCATTTCCCTAGACAGAACCAGTTTGCAGTTGAGTTAAATAAAAATACATACTGTAGGATGGGTTGGCTCATGAATTCAACCCCCATCCATCATTTGTGTTGATTAATTCAACCAAATGTTAATTAATTAATGAAAACACACACGGTTTCATTGTCTTGATTGGTGCTGTACTTTCCTACTCCGACTGACAGCCTGACATTGCATGTCACAAGGAAATGTCGTTTTTTGCCTGGGATGAGAGTATGAGACTGAAACTAAGAACCGGTAAAGTGAACCGGATTGAATCGTTAATCGTTATGACCTGGTTTAATACGATTCCAATATTTGTCAAGTTTTACCGGCACGAGCATTAATAAAGTAAAATCTGTGTGGTTGAAGTTTGTGTTGAGGAGAAAGAATTAACTAGAATCACAAATTCTTTACTTAAAAGGTAAAGTGGCAAAGTTAAGGGTGGACTCAGGCCGGGCCAACCGGCCCGGAACTGGACCGGCCCGGAATCGGACCGGCCTGCTACTGTGCGGGCCCGGACCGGTGAACTGGTTTGTTGGCCGGTTCGGTCCACTTGGCTTGGTGGGATCTCGGTTCGGGCTTGGGCCCTTCAAAAGGTGAATCGGCACGGCCGGTTCAGGCTCGGGGTGGGCCAATTTGTTTTTTTTTTGAAATTTTTTAAAGTTTTTGGGTTGGGCTGGGTATTTTGGGCCATTTGAGGTGGTTAGGGTTGGTTTGGGGGTGAGGGAGAGGGTTGGGGGTTAACTAGGAAAAGCCAACAAAAAAAAATAGAATTGAGGCTTGGCCCGGACCTGGGGGTTACCCGGGCCGGTTCCGGGCCTCCCATACCTTGAACTGAGGCTCGGTCGGTTCAAGGCCCGAATCTGGCCCGGCCCGAACCAAGTCCATCCCCAGGCAAAGTTAGTGGACATCCAAAAAGGAAAGTTGACAAAGTTTTAAGGGACGGAGTAGGGGTGGGCATAACGGTTCGGTTTGACCGAATTGAATTGTACCAAATCGAATTAAACCGAATTGAAACCGAACCATATGTAATTTGGTTTGAGTTTGGTAGTATTCCTCCCAACCCGTATTAAACCGAACCAAATCGAACCGAAATCATAAAACCGAATAAAATCGAATAAAATCGAACTAATCTAAAAATGAAATAATTTCTTATTTTTTTAAAATAACAAATCAAAACAAACTTACACCAAACTAAACCAAACCAAAATATAAGATTTCTCTCATTAATTTTATTGATGTTAATCTTTTTGAAGCTTTAATTCTTTAATTTTAGTGTCTAGGACTAGAGTTTACTACAAGAGTTACATTCACAACTATAACAATTATAGTGGTTTAAGTACACATTATTTAACTATAATTTATTATCTACTAGTACTATATATTATGTTCATTACTTACAAGCACCATTTTTGTTTTTGTTTCGGCTTTATATATAATTTGATTCAATCCCGTTGTTGTTGTTGCTTACAAATGTGTAATGTTTATATATTTTTGGTTCATATGTGTTTCGTTAATGTTTGCAAATTTATATCTAACATTATATTTGGTTCATTACTATCACTTCTTGCCTTCTTGGTTCATTATTTTGAGTTTTTTTTTCAATCCAAACCTTAATACTTTGGTAAACCGAACTCCAAACCGAACCGAACCATACCAAACCGAAACTTAATCGGTTTGTATTTGGTACATTTTCTATCAAACCGATTAAACCGAAACCGAACCGAAACCGAAGAAAACCAAACCGAAAACTGAAATGCCCACCCCTAGGACGGAGGGAGTAATTACTACCTCCGTTCATATTATAACTTCCAAATAGGTCTGACACAAAATTTAAGATAATGAGTATTGTGTGTTGGAGAATTGTGCAGATGAGAGAGAAATGTGTAAGAAATGTTGTTCTCAGTTTCATAAAAAATATGTATGATGAATGGTTCTCTGCCATCAAATTTGATGTGGATTTTGCCCCACAAATACTATTTGAACTAGGCATGGATTCGGGCCGGGCCTAGACCCGGTCGGGTCACCGGTTTGTGAATGGTGGGCCCGGGACCGGCCCGAGGTACAGGCGGTTCTAGTTCGGGCCGGGCCACCCGCCCGGATCACGGGTCGGGCCACCCGCCGGGCCGGGCCGGGCCGGTTAAATTTTTTTTTTATAATTTATACTTTATAGTTTTATACAAGTATTAAAAACAAACTTCAAGTGCATTTATTTGAAATTAAATAGGAACTACATTTGACAATTGAGAAAAAAAATACAATATGAAATACATTTTGTAATCAATCGGAACTACCCGGACCTCCCGGTCCTTTGACTTTGTCACATGACATAATATGCTTTCTTGCCATCCCGTATCCGCTTGAAATCCTCATGCTACACTTTTTTCCGCACAATTTCCAAGTTGCGTACCACATCCCGATCATCGGGTCCTTCTGCGTATCAAAATTATACCGTATAACGGCATATTGACTTTCCATCTTAAAAATGGTAGATATAATAATTCTACAAATACTAGAATAGATGGAGATGAAGATGGAGAATGGAGATTGGAGATCGGATATTGGAGAAGATGTGTATAAAAATGTTAGAAAATAGGAGTATTTATAGAAAATTTTGTACCCCCACCACCCACCCCACCTCCACCCCAACAGCTCTATTGATTCAAATTTCAAACAACCAAAGTGCCCAAGTCCCAACGGCTATATAGCCGTTTGGGGCCTTTGATTTATTTTTTTTGTTCATCTTAGTTTGAATAAATTACATAATGTAAAATTAATTAATTAATTTTACGAATTCAGTGAAAAATGCTACATATAAAAAAATGAACGTATATTTATTTGAAATATGAACTACAAGTTTACAAGTTACAATTGAAGGTAAAATTAAAACATGAAATACTAATCAATCGGAATCTCCGTAATAGGTAGAGCCACTTTCGGTTGTAGATTCATCCATAAAGTGTTGGGATGGGGTGATGTCAAATTTCTTGAGCTCTACGGGCCGCCTTCAACCAATCGTGGTAGCATATAAGCATCTCAAGAGATTCTGCGCTCAACCTCGTTCTACATTGCGTTAGGACATGACCGGCCGAACTAAATTCTTGTTGGACGGCAACTGTTGAAACCGGCATTGATAGCACTTGCTTAGCCATCTTTGCTAAAACCGGGAACATTCTTTCTTTTCCCTTCCACCAGTTTAGAACGTCAAAGTTATCATCTTCTTCAAAATCAACATCATATGTTAAATACAAAGAAATCTCATTAATTGTGCTTTGTGGAGTAGCGGGTGTTGTTTTAGTTTTTTTTAATAAGATTGGCAAATGTAGATTTCAAAATTGATTTTCCCGTAGATGAAGAGGTTTGTGTCGGGGGAGGGGGCGCGTTGCCATATTGTGCATGAAACTTATTAAATAATGCATAAAATATATCACTAACCTCGTTGTATTCTTTTTTCAGATCAATTGAGTTCTCGTCATACATTGGCGTTGGACCAAAAAAAGCAGCATAATAATAATTCAAACATTCTTCTAAAGAACCAAGTCTAAAACGAGGATCGAGAACAAATGCAATACCATAAATATGCGGAATATGTGAATAATATTTTAAAAACTTTTCCTTGATAAAACCAACAAAATAACTCACATAATTGGCATTCTCAAAATTTGAAAAAGCAACGACGAGATTAACAGCTTCACGAATAAATTGGTTTGAGGTGGGTTTATAAACATGACTAAAAGTTTCAGTTGCATTATTAAAATATACCAAAGCATTACAAATTTTTTCGCATGTGTCGATCTCAACCGAGTTTATAATATAGTTATCATATTGTTTCATAAAAGCAGGAAAATGTTGTTTATATCTAAGAAGAATTGCAATTAACTTATAAGTACTATTGCAACGAATAGACCATGATGGAGTATATGGGCCTAGACCCCAGGGCCCACATACTCAGGAAAACAGAAGGTACCCCGATCACCTGGTGGGACCCTCGTCGGCCAGATGGCCTCCATCAGCCAGAAAGAAGTCTACTCAGAATATGATCCAGAAGCCAAGAGAACCGGGTGACCTCGTCGGCCGGGTCCTCGTCGGCCATGATCTCGTCAGTCATGCCCTCATCGGCCATAGATAGCCACCAGAATAAGATTTTATACTTAATCACTTCTATACACTTTGTATCTGGCCCATTAGTGGCCTTATTGTAAGTGGGCCTCCCAAGACCAAGACTTGAGAGCCCAACCCTAATTTTCTCTATAGGGGAGTATTTAGAGGGGTTGACAAAATCATTAATACTAAGCATTTACTGCACTTCTCTCTCTAGTTCTCACTTCTCTCTAGATATATAATCTATCATTTGGTGCTCTCGTTGAGAGCTAGAACAATCAAGTTAGCCTCCTTCGTCGCTACCAAGCACAACTAACTAACAATGGGAAGAACTAAGTCAAACCGCAACCTCCTCGACAAGGCCATCCCCGAGGCACAAGAGAACCAAGAGCGCGAGGAGGATGCTACGGCCGACAAGGCCACCGAGGGGGATGTCTTCCAGGAAGCCATCGACCTCGCAGGTGACCTGCGCAACAAGCTCAACGGCGGCGCCCCAGACGCCCGCATCGGCTTGGACAAGAAGCACGCGGAAAAAGGCGACAACGCCTCGGCGCAGCCGGCCTCTCCTGCTGTTGACCCTCACCTTCAGGCCGCACTCTCGGCCATCATCGCCAGTTTGGCCCAGAACCCCACCGTCCTCAGCGCACTCATGCCAAGGACGGGGGAGAACATGACGTCGCCTCCTCAACCCCAGCCATTGGCCGTTAGGCTAGGCAACGATGAGGGGGTGGTGCCCCAGAACACCACGTCGTCCCACTCCCACCCTGCTTCCCCGCTTCGAGCCGGACCGACCCCAGCGCGTGGAAAAGCCTCAGCCTTTAACAGGCTAGGTGACACGTACTGTCGGCCTGCTTCGGAGAGGATGGTGGGGCGGATTGGTCAACGTGAGCCTGTCTCACCTAGGGAAAGTTTGGGGTCGGTATCCCGGACAGCGGATCGGCTCCGCCTGGACAAAGGCAAGGGGAAACTGCACGAGGGTGATGCCCGTCACCAAATCAACACGGCTCACGCAGCCCGCTTGCAGACGCAGGGCGCTACCACAGCAACCAGGGACCCCAGGGATGAGGTAATCGCCCAACTCGAGCGAAGGCTCGCCCAGATGGAGGCCAAACAGCTGGCCGCCACCCCCACAAGCAACTCATCCAGAGATCCCGGCTTCAACGCCCTTCTGAACAAGGTCACCATCCTTGAAAGGGAGTTGGCCGAAGAATGAGGAGACCCCATCATCCAGGTCAGGATGAGGACTCCCTTCACCGCTAGGGT